CCTCCTCTGAGAAGTGTCTGTTCAGGTCCTTGGCCCATTTGTTGATTGGGTTATTTGTTTTCTTATTGTTTAATTTTTTGAGTTCTTTGTATACTCTGGATATTAGGGCTCTATCTGAAGTGTGAGGAGTAAAGATTTAGAGCAGAGATTTTTTTWAAAAAAATAAAGAGTAGAAAACAGTGGAGAAAAATCAGTGAAACCAAAATTTGGTTATTTAAAAAGGTCTGCAAGTGATGCTTGGTGGCACACACTTGTAATCCCAGTGACTCTGGAGGCTGGGGCAGGAAGATCTCACGTTTGAGGCCCTGTCTCAAAATAAAAAAGTTAAAAGGCTGGGGACATGGCTCAGTGATAGAGCACCCCTGGGTTCAATCCCCAGAACATCTACTACTATACTAGTAATAATAATAAATAAATTAAATTAAATAAGAAGATTCACAAAATGGACAAAACTTTAAGACCTAAATAACCAAAATCATAAATGAAAATGAGAACTATAGCTGAATTTTCAGAAATCAATAGGACTCAGAGAGAATGCTCTGAGTAGGTGTACTTCAACATATTAGATCACATAGAGAAAAATGGATAAATTCTTGGAAACACACCAAGACTGAATTGTGAAGAACTAGAGGTTTTCAACAGAATTATAGCTAGTGAGGAGATTCAATCAGGGAACCAATGCCTTCCAACAAAGAAAATCTCAGGACCAGGTGGCTTCCCTAGTGAATTCTACCAAACATTTAAATAAGCACTATGAATCCTCTTCAGATTCTTCCAAGAAGTTTGTGGAGAGGAGGAAATCCTTCCCAGTTCATTTTAGGACAAAATTAGAAGCCTCAAACTAATTGATTTCCAAAAATTTTACAAAGCTACGGTTCTCAGAACATTGAAGTACCAACGTAAAGAAGAGACAGACCRATGGGATAGAATAGAGAGCTCAGAAATAAACCCYCCAACATTTGGTCACGTGATTCTCMACAAGGGTGCCAAGACCAACAGATGATGGAAAGGACAGTCTTTTCATGAAATATTGCCTTTTACCTTACACCATAGATGAAAGTCAACTCAAAGTTGATTAAGGACCTAAATGTAAGAGCTAAGATTATAAAACTTTTGGAAGAAAACAAGGGAAAAGCTTCACTACATTGGACTTGACAATGATTTTTTTAAAGTATAACATCAAAAACACAGACAACAAGTAAAACTTGATAAATTGGACTACATCAAAAAAAAAAAAAACAAAAAAAACTTCTTTGCCTCAAAGAAAAAGGACACATTTGATGGAGAAAAACAACCTACAGAATGGGAGAAATGAGATAAAAGGTCAATATCCAGAGTTTGTTTTATAAAAAACACCTGTAAYGTAGCAATAAAATAAACAAACAGTACAATTCAAAAATAAGCAAAGAGTATGAATAAGAAATTTATCCAAAGAAGATATACAAATATCCAACAAGCACGAAAATAGATGTTTAATACCACAAATTGTTAGGGAAATACAAATTGAAACCACAAAGAGATGGTCTGTCAAAACATGAATAACAGATTTTGGTGAGGATGTGGAGAAATTGGAACTTTTGTGCCYTTTTGGTGAATATATAAAGTGATGCAGACACTATGAAAAACAGGAGGACAGTTTCTTGAATAATTAAAGATAGGACTGCCATGTGATTAGCAATTCCATTTCTGGGTATAGATCCAAAAGAATTGTTTGATTTGATTTTTGCAAAGCTAGGAATCAAACCCAAAGCCTCAAACATGCCAGGAAAATGCTCTACCATTCAGCCACATCCCCAGCCCTTAGCAAAAGGATTGAAAACAGTATTAAGGAGTTTTTGTACATGTTATGTCCATGAGTTTTATTCACAATAGCCAGAGGGTAGGATCAACCCACTTATCCATTAATAGATGGATGGATAAACAAAATGCATATACACAGAAAGGAAATTTTAGTGTATGGTACAATGTGAGTGGACCAAGAGGATAGTTTGCTAAGTGATATAAGCCAGTCATGAAAAAATAAATTCAGTATGATTCCACTTATATGAGGTACCTAGATTACTCAAATTCACAGAAACTGAGTAGAATGGTGGTTGCCAGGGTGGAGGGGTGGGGAATGGGCAATGGTTCCATAGACACATACTTTCCATTTATCAAAATGAAAGAAGTTCTGGATATTGGTTACACCAAAGTTTGAATGTGTCTAGCACGAATAACTGTACACTTAAATGATTAAGATGGTAAATTTTATCTTATGTTTATTTGACTACAATTTTTAAAAAGTGTATTTGTGTCCATGAGAGAGACCAAGAGGGAGACAAAGTATTCCCATTAAGACAATAGAGTAGAGGTTGCAATTTCTGATGGAGGGAATGTGATTTTATTCTTGTAAAAACTTTCCTGTACTTTTCCATATCTGAGTAAACAGTGTTTTTTAATAAGTGAAAGAATAAAGGGGTTTTTCAAGTGTGTATCACTTGTCTAGCCCTAAGAGGCATAGATATAATCAAATGGCTGAGAGTTTTTTATAACTGGGAGGAAGATCCAAATTGTGTTTAGTTTTGGAAGCTGGGGTGGAGGGAGGAATGTGAGATGGATCTTATGATGGGTGAAATCTGGAAGCCACTCATGCTAGTTCCTGCTTTGTCCCCATAGGTCCTACTTGAGCCAGCCACTGGTGCTAGAGCTTATTCACCAGATGACCTGAGGAAAATGGAGTTGAGACCTTCAGAAGGATGGTGTCCTGCAGGTACATTCTAAGATTGAACTGTAATTTTTTTTTTCTTTTTTTTTTTTTTTGTAACAGGGACTGAACCCAGCAGCACTTAACCACTAAGCAGCATCACCAGCCCTTTTTATCTTTTATTTTGAAACAGGATCTTGCTAAGTTGTTTGGGTATTTATTGATCCTTTGCCACATCCAGGGTTATGAAGATTTTATCCCCAGGTTTTCTGCTTGTTTAGTTTAGTAGGCTTTGCTCTTACATTTAGGTATTTTATTCACTTTGAGATAATTACCGTATGTAGTGCCAGGTAAGGATTCAACTTCTTCCTCTTGTATGTGGCTATTCCAGATGCAGTTGTCCCAGCACAATTTTTTTTTTAAAAGACTGTTCTTTCCCATTGAACAGTCTTGGCATCCTTGTTGAAAATCAGTTCAATGTGAATGTGTGAGTTTATTCTTGGATTCTCAGTTCTTTTCCATTTGTTTGTGTCTATCCTTTTGCCAGTACCAACTTGTAGTGTGTTTTAAAATCAAAGTGTGATTCTTCCTACTCTGCTTTCCTTTTCCAGGATTATTTTGGCTATACTGGGTTCCTTGAGATTCCATATGAATTTTGGAATCACCTTCACAATCTCTATAAAGAAGTCAGCTGACTTTCTATAGGGATTGCGCTGAGTCTGTAGCCCAGTTTGGAGAGTATTGTCATCTTAACATTGTTGTTAAGTCTTTCAATCCATGAACATGGTATGTTTTCCCATTTATTTTAGATCTTCTTTAATTTCTCAGCAATTTTTAAAAAAATTTTTTAGATAATAAACTTTGCATTTATTTTATTAAATTTATTCCTAACTACTTAATACTTGTTGATACTATTGTGAATGGAATTTTTCTTAGTCTTATTTTGGGATTGGCCATATTGTGAGCATACAACAATACAGTTGATTTTTTGTGTATTGATCTTGTGTTTTATAACCTTGCTGAACTTACATATGTGTAAGGTTCTTTCCATCCATTCCTTAGGGTTTTCTGCCTATAAGATGGTGTCATTAGTAAACACGGCTTTTATTTCCTTTTCAATCTGGATGACATTTATTTCTTTTCCTTGCCTAATTGCCCTGATGAGAACCACTAGCACAGTGTTGAATAATCAAGTAGCAAGAACAGATAGCTTTGGGGTGTGGCTGCCTTCCCAACTGGTTTGCTAGCTGAAGTCTAAGGGCCTGGCTTTTTGAAACCTCTTCCCTGCCTCTGTTTTTGTGTCTTGCTGCTTGAAAGGTCTTCTCCATTTCCCTCCCTTCCTGGGGATCTGATGCACGCCTATCAATCTCCAGGGTCCTGTGGTTAGCCACCCACACCACCAGGCTCTGCTGGTTCCCGGACTTTGGTAACCAAGCAGCCGGGTGCTTGTCYGGGGCAGTTTTATTCCATCGACTGAAGATTCTCCTCTCTGGCCCCAACTGGCATCTTTCTCCCGGTTACCATTGGGATCTCCTGTCAAGGTCACGGTCTTCCCTTTCACCTGTTGGCACTGCCTGAACTCTGAGTCTGCTGTCATCAACCTCCTTTTCCTCAGATTCTTTCTGCTCATCTTCATCCTTTGTCGCCGCCTTGGCAGTGATCGCTGAGCCGCTGTCCTACAGTCGCAGGGCAGCCACGCTCCTTGTCGCTCACACTGCAGGAGGTGTGCCCGCCTGGCTCCTGTGGCGGTGGCCACAGCCTCCTCAGCCCCCTTGGCCCCAGTGTGTGGGACAGTGTGTGGGATGGGCGGCTGCCCTGCATGCTGCCGGCTCCAGGCACCGTCAGCCTGCTAACGCAAGCCGATGCCTGTCGCCSGGACACAGACACAGTTGGCCACCTRCTGCAGCGTAGTGGAGCCTAAAGATCCAGGCAGTAGCAGAAGCCGGCCAAGCACTCGCTGGGTTGTCCACCTCTTCCTTGAGTTGGTTTCAGTAGTTTGTTTTTCTAACAAGTTGTCCCAAAGTTACCCAATTTGGGATGTACCGGGGTTTACAGCATACTTAATACTTTTTTCAAATTCTCATATTTTCAGTCTCCTCCCGTTAGTGCCCTAGTCAACTATGTTCAGAGAACCAGCTTTTGATTGCATTAATTTCTTTCTTCCCTTACTGGCTGGTGGGCTGGGGATCGAACTCAGGGCCGCACACCTGTTAGGCAGGCGCTCTGCTGCTGAGCGCATCCCAGCCCTGGTCTGATTGATGTTCTCCATTGTTTTTCTCATCTCTATTTAGTGCATTTCTGCTCTATCTGTATTATTTCCCTGCCTTCTCACTTTCTTCACCTTTATTGTGCTTCCTTTTTCAGTATCTTAAAGTGGAATACTAGGTGATCCCTATGATGTGACCAAAAAAAAAAAAACAAACAAAACAAACAAAAAAAACAACCCTAGATTTTGAAGGCTTGGTATTTAAAAAAATAATAAACTATYTCACTATTATATACTGATTATAATTCATTGGACTCTGTACTTTTTACTGTGGATACTCTGAGTCAGGATTTCTTGTGTGCTTTGTATTGGGCTTCTGTGGGGTGCTGGGCGAAGTTGTATAGTAGGTACAGAAAGGATGAGCTGAGCCAGATCAGGTAGCRTGGCTGTCCCTGTTTAGAGTCTCCTGTTGGAGAGGGAATTCCTCTCACCACTGCCAGCTGCATTGAAATTCATTCATGGGCTTTTCTCTCCAGGCTATTACCGGACTGAGACTGGGGCTTGCGAGATGTGCCAGGAGGGTGTGGACTACACCAACCATTCCAACAACCTCTCTTCCTGCATCCCCTGCAGCGTCTGTAGAAATGGTACACAGCAAGCGGGCCCAGGGAGGGTGGTGGGCTGGGACTCGGATTCCACGTGGACTCAGAAACCTCAATTCCAGCCCAACTTGGTCTTCTTTCTGCCCTGCCCCATGATCATCTTTGATTCAATGAAACACAATTTTTTAAAAATGGAAATTTAACATATAATGCATGCCGCTTTAGAAGGTAGTCATTTAAAACAGCAGTAGGGAGGAGTAGGAGATTAATCTGCCCCCTGTGGAGGGGCTCCTTCACCCCCTCAGAAGCATTTTGGGGCAGTTGCTACTGCTGACACTGTCCCTTGATTTGTAAACTTGGCAAACACTTGCTGAACGTCTGCCCTGGGACAGGACAGGTACAGAGTGCACTGGGGCTGGCTGTGAGAGGACATTTCCCTGGAGGTGTCCTAAGAGGACTGAGCAGGTGACTCCAGCTACAATAAAGATAAGGACACTGGACTCCATAGACCAGGGCACATTTGAAAAGGATGTTGAAGGACAGATTCAAGGATTCCAAGTGGTAGATGGARAACATCTCTCCTAGAGAGCCTCATGCATTCAGGAGAAACGCCTGATTCAGTTCTGGGTCTGCTCCGAGTCTCCTGTCCTCTGCTCGGGATTTGGGGGTCCACTGACAGATTTCAAGTCACCACCTGCTTTGTTTTTGACCAAGATCCTTCTGAACATACAGGGAAGGGCAGAGGAGGAATGGAAGTCAGAGAGGCAGGACAGAGTGGAGTGGAGAGAAGGGAGCCTCTCTGAGCYTCCCCTCTGCCCTGTAGTCAGCCTCCAGCTGTGAGGGATCATGCTGTGTTCTGTCCCACCCCCAGGCTCCTTCACTTCTTCTCAGTGTGGATTACTTTCTCTTCCCATGAGTTAGACCCTTCCTGACCTCAGGCCTCTCATTCGGTAACCTTCCACATAAACTCCAACACACATTCTGGTCTCCATTTCTTGGATCTACTGAAACATTTAGGTCTGTAGCCCAAGAACATAAGTGACTGATGGAAAAAGTTGGATTTTGTCCTGGTCCTGAGCCAGGTTCTCCATCCTGTGCTCTGACTTCCTGGCAGGGGCACGATGCTCCAGCCTCCACATCCCAAGGCCCCTTCCTTGCACCTGACCTTGGGATCTAAAATTTGATGCATTAAATAATAAACTGTATTCTTCTATGTGACTCCAAATACAGGTGACAGCATCTTTATGCCTGGTACTCTGTTGCTGCAGGACCGGGCTGACTGGGGCTGGGGGGTGTTCATGTGGAGAAGGATGGAGGAGTATCCCGGGAAATTCATCCCCAAAGCTCTTCCTTCATTTCCAGATAAAGAACAGAAGGGTCCGTGCACCACCACCAGAGATGCAGAGTGCCAGTGTAAACCAGGCACCTTCCAGGATCAAAACTCCCCTGAGTTCTGCCGAACGTGTTCGGACCGGTGAGATACGGGAGCTGGGAGCTCTCAGCAGCTCAAGGGAAGCCGTGGAAGACCTGACTATTTTAGTACCCCTTTCTCTTCCGGCCCTACGGAGCCCCCCAACCCCTCAGGTGTCCCTTGGGAGTTTCCTGAGCCTTCAGTGTCCCTTTCTGGTCCTTCTGCACGTCCTCCCACCTGCGCTCGCAGTGGTCCCTTCCCACCCATCCTTTTCTCCCAGGACTTGTTCACTGGCCGCAGGAGGCCATGACTTAGGGCCCATGGTCCTTTTGAGGGCCTCAGGATATGCTTGAATTCTTTTTGGAAACAGAAGAATGGGTAGAATTCAGCCAGGCTTCTGTTCATTTATGTCCCATTTATGTCCCAAGTCAGTAACAAAAATGTCATTTTCAATCAATTTTTGTGCAGCAGAAGCCCATGAAGACAAAAGCTCCCACAGCCCAGAAGAGGCATGTTAAGGCGGTGTGTGTGGTGCCCTCGAGGCTCCCAAGAAGGCCCAAGCCACTTCTGCCGGCCTCACCCCAGACTCCTGGCCCCTCAATAACACGTCTTGTTCCTATTTGGGGCCCTCTGGGCCGATAGTTAATTTACTCTTCTCTCATGCTGGGTGTTTGCTGTGCTTGGTAAGAAGGTCAGACAGGAAGGTCCAAGGAAGCTTAGTTGTGTTAAAGGTTAGCAGGAGGCTAGGCTCAGCTGTGGCTGCCTGGGCTCCTGCCATTGCCCCAGAGTGAGATCCCACCTTGCTCAGTAGCCAGGCCACGCAGCAGCCTGCTGCAGAGAAGGCCCCTAAGGCTGCACCTCCACTCAGAGCTGGGATTCGGAGGGATGGAAAGGTATGTGCTCAGGTCCTTTCCCAGACTTAGGGGAGAGTTAGGGGTTGGGGGTCCCTGGAGATACAAGGAGCCTGTCCTTTCTTTAACACCTTCTCAGGGACATTAGGCAGAGAGGGTGGCTCCCTCCTTCATGCTGTCTGGCCAGCCTTTCCTCACATCTTCCTGTTGTTTCCTCTCTCTGCACCCAGCTGCCATGGTGAGATGGTGGAGGAGAGTCCCTGTGTCCCCTGGAGTGACCGCAAATGTGTCCACAAAGAATCAGGTACCAAGGCCATCAGGGAAACCCCGGCTTCTGCAGAGCCAGTGACAGCCAATGTCAGCACTACTGCCTATGTCCATCCCTCCTTAGTCCGTAGAGACTTACATATTGTGGTGGGCCTTCTGGCTGTGGGTGCTGTAATTGTTCTGCTTTGGATTGCGTGGTGGTGTTCAAGGAGGAAGAAGATATTCAATTGTATAAAGAACATCTTTCCAAGTAAGTGTTGGCTGGGGGTGGGCATGCGAGCACCCTGCCCCCCATCCTGCTCCGTTCCCACACACAGAAATGCCCTCCCCGAATCCCAAAGCCGCTTATCCTCCCAGCCTGGCTGTTTGTTCCCTGTGGTGACCCTGTCATCTCCCACCTCGTGGCACCTCAAGATCACCAGGATCCCACGAGTCCCTGTCTAGGGGCTGACCGTCACCTCATCTCTCAGCCTGGTCCAGGTGGCAGTGCCCACCAGGCAGAAGTGTGATCTCTTTGACTAGGAACAAGTTAGGGTGACAAGTGGTCAGGGGCTAGACAGCTGTGGGCAGGGCAGAGCCAGGCAGACTGTGAACATGTCTCCCATTTCTCCCCTGTGCTGTGTCTAGGTCCCCAGCCCAGACCGCCCAGCACTGCCCTCAGGGAGGTGGGTGAGGCCCCTGCCCATGCGCTAAGAGGATCCCTTTCTCTTCCAGGCCGTGGACAAGACTCTCAGCACATGGACACAGTGAGTGGTCTCCCCTGTGCTTGGAGTCACTGAGCAGCACAGCCTGGGAAGGGCCATCCCTGTTTCTCCTGTGATGCTGCCCTGGCTCTCTAAAGTGGCCTGGAACTCTGGGCCAATGTCAGGGGCAAACGGCCATTGTGAGCTCCCTCTAGGCCTGTGGACCATACTGCTACCCTGTCCCTCCTGCTGCCTGGGATACCCTCTCCCATGACCTTGCCCCTGGGGGTGGGGTCACTTAGGACTTTGTCATTCTCCTTGGCACAACCCTAGGACCTTGGTGCCAGCAACAGATCATGGATGTCTGAGCCTGTGTCCACCTGGGGTGACCCCACTGAGAGGGGGTAAGGACCTGGTAGGGAGTCCTAGGTGTGGGCTCCTGAGTGGTGTCTTTGTCTTCCCAAGGTCTCTATCCCAAGGGAGTCTGAAGCTCAGGACAATGACCACAATGAGATCCTAGCCAGCACGAACTCACCATCCACCCTGGACTCTGAGCAGCCAAGGAATGGACAACAGCTGGTGACTCRTGTCACTGAAGAGTTCCCAGAGGAGGAAACAAGTCTGCTGGTGAGTGGGGACAGGCTGTGCCAGGCTGCAGACGGGGAGAGTGGGTGTCATCCTGAGGGGAAGTGGAGACTGAGGGAGGAAAGGGACTGTCTAGGTGGGGCTRCACCTGGTTCACGAGGTGACTGAGCCACTCTGGAACACTCTGACACTTCATCTGGATCTCTGTCATGCTCAGGCTGCATCCCCAGAGCCTGGAGCCTACAGGCACAGATGGAGCACTGTGGTATGGGTTGAGGATCCAACCAAGGCTGAGTACTTGCCATCAAGTACTTATTTTTTTAGTTGTAGATGGATACGATATCTTTATTTTTATTTATTTATTTTTTATGTGGTGCTGAGGATCGAACCCAGGGCCCCATGCATGCAAGGCAAGTGCTGAGCTACAGCCCCAGCCTTCGTTTTGGTTATTTTTGATTCACCAACAGCGTTTTGTCCTAGGATCTTTGTAAGAAAATGTATTCACCTGCCCGTACATTTTTTCCCATGTGGATAATAGAGGCCTAATTTCTTATCCTTTCATTTGGTGTGATATTTTCATGTGTAGACGTTTTCATTTATAACTAGTGAAATTGCTAGATACATTAACTTTGTTTTTGCTCATCAGCTTAAGATGTTTAGGGGATTGAACCCAGGGCCTTGTGCATGCAAGGCAAGCACTCTACCAACTGAGCTACATCCCCAGCCCCTTGCTCAACATAAGAAGAAACCCTCCCATTTCCTGGGAAGAAATATTTTTTTCAAGGATTTCCTTTTTGTACATTACAGTATGATCCAAGTGGAGTTTCTCTTGCAGAACCATAAGAAGTGTGGTGCTGCTCGATTGCTCTAAGTCACTATCTAACTCTTCTGGCCCCAGTTAAACCCCGAGTCTCCCACATCCCTCTGCTCTTGGGACCCCCTGAATCACAACTCAAATGTTGATATTGACAGTGATGTCCTTTCTCCCAGGCTATTCCTGTTTCATTCTTGCATCAATACCCAGTTTCCCTTTAACAATGAGAAAGCAATAAATAAAAATATCCATTAAAAAGATCAATGATTGACCAGGCGACTGTAATCCCCGCAGCTCAGGAGGCTGAGGCAGGAGCATCTCGAGTTCAAAGCCAACCTCAGCCATGGTGAGGTGCTAAGCAACTCAGTRAGACCCTGTCTCTAATAAAATACAAAATTGGGCTGGGCATAGCTATGGCTCAGTGGTCGAGTGCCCCTGAGTTCAGTCCCCCATACCAAAACAAAAGAAAACAAAACAACCTAAAAAGGTCAATAATCCCTCCAACTTGATTAAATACCTTGATATTTTCAGAAAGATATAAATACATATTCAAAGTGAGAAAATTTAAACAGTATAGAAAGGGTCTCAACAAATAAGAGCTTCTTTCATTTCCCCCAGGCCCCAAGATAACTATGAGAGATAATTCCTTGTGATTCTTTCTCCAAGTCTTTATGCATAAGTTTATCGACATTTATTGAAAGATCACATATTATATGCAATATTCTTTCACACATTGAAATTTTTTGTTTTAATAATAAACAAAATAACTTTTTCTTCGTTTTTTAAAACTTAAAATTTGTTCCAGATAAAATTTAGAATTCATTCATAAGATCTTCTCTATATCAAAAATAATTGAATTTTTTTTTATTATTGATGCTGAGGATGGAACTCTGGGCCTCATGCATGCCAGACAAAGGCTTTTAACCACTGAACTGCATCCTCAGCCCCTAATTGGAATTTCTATTCCAATTTACCTTAAATATGAAAATTTAATCTAGGACGAATTGAAATTTTGTCATTATTCAATATTTTTCTTATCRCAGAAGTCAACATTTCAAGACAAGTGTTTTTCTTCCAGCTAAATTAAGATCTGTCTTTTTCTACAAATAAATCATTTCCATTTCTTGACAGTGCTGCTTTCTTCGYACTTAAGTGTTTTATAAACTTTATAAATTGGGTCTTTTTGTGGCGTTTTCTAATGTATTGTTTCACTACATTTTTAGCCATTCATTCTGACTTCTGTTGCTCTTTCAATCCTTTATAAACTTTAGGTTTTTTTACATATTCAAACATACATAAACAGTGATTCATTTTCCTGCTCCATTCCGAGACTCCTGCTCTGCGTTTCTGTCTCCCCGCCTGCTGTGGAGCCAGAACTGTTGAGCACAGTGGGCAGCAATGCCGGGAAGGGCGAGGGAGCTTGCCTAGAAGCCCTGGGTTCCATCCCCAGCACAATTACAAAGAAGAGTGAGAAAAAATAGGTCAGGGGGGAGGAAGGGAGGAAAACTGCTTAGCAAAGCACCTGTTGCATCTCTAGTGCTACCCCTGTGAATGACACTGGCTCATTTCATAGAGAAATGCATCTTTGGATTCCAAGCTGTTTTAAAACCTCAGAACTGGTGTTCAGTCTTACCAAGTGCCTGCCAGCCTTTGTGGTGATTGTGTCATGCTTTCATTTCCCTCATTGTTATTGATCAGAACACCTTCACATTCTTGAAACCAACCATGGCTTTGGATGGCAGTGCCTTCATATACAGGCTTCTACTGAGTCTCATAAAAACTCTGTAAGAGCCACGTGTGGTGGGGCTCACCTGTCATTCCAACCACCCGGAAGGCTGAGACAGGAGGATCACAAGTTTGAGGCCAACCTGGGCAGTGAGACCCTGTCTCAAAGTAAAAACTAGAAAGGGCTGAGGACATAGTGCACTGGTAGAATGACCCTRGGTTCAATCCTCAGTACCAAAAGAAAAGAAAAGAAAAATTTTTAAAGAGGGCTGGGGATGCGGGGCTGGGGATGTAGCTCAAGCGGTAGCGTGCTCACCTGGCATGTGTGCGGCCCGGGTTCGATCCTCAGCACCACATACAAACAAAGATGTTGTGTCCGCCGAGAACTAAAAAATAAATATTAAAAAATTCTCTCTCTCTCTCTCTTTAAAAAAAAAGTGGGCTGGGGATGCTTTTGATGCTGGGTTCAGTCCCCAGTACTGCAAAAATAAGAGAATAAAAGGCCTCTGAGAAGGCCACTTCCTCCTGTGGAGGTGGGAGGGAATGGACCAGAAGAGGAAGCTCTGGGTGGGGCAGCGAGCATTCCCTCTTGGTGGAGTGATGCTTGGAGTGGAACACTTCAGGTGAGCATGCACACAGCCTGTGCGCGGCTCCAGGTGGCAAGTTTATTGCCAACCTCCACAGAGACCTGGAAGGGATAAGAGAGGTGGCCCAGGTCTCCAGACTGGCTGGTTGTCAGAGGTCCCTGACTCTGATAGGGCATCTCCCCTTTGTTCCAGAGACCTGCAGAAACAGAGAGGTCTCCGATGAGAAGGAGGCCACTGGTTCCAGTAGAGGGAACTGACACCGTTGAGAGTAAGTATTTCATGTGAGACGATGAACAGGCGTCCGGGAAATAGGATCAGGGTTTTAACTGCTGTCCCTGTGGCTGGTAGGGCTTCCCCAGGGCTGTTGATGCTGGATGCAGGGGGTCCTATGATGCTGTCGCTGGGCTTTAGGAACCACCAATCCCCTTCTCGCTCTGCTTCTCCCATGGGGGCCCACCCAGTCCCTCTCATCATTTGCATCTTTCTGTACCCGCCCACCATCTTCCCTCCTTGCTTGTAGTTCATCATCCCCCAGGTCCTCCTGAAGGCTGTTGCACAACTGACCTGTGGCCAGGCCCTGTTTGATGGGCCATAGTATAAACTACAATCTGGATTTCAAAGACTGAATGTCGATTATATGATGGAATGATAAAATTTTATAAATATCGAATTAAGTACAATGTCTTATCAAAATGAATTTCATTTATTTCCTTTTACTTCTTAAAAGAGGCTATTAGAAAACATCAGCTCCTGTCCCTTCCGTTTCTCAGGCCGTGCTGGGCCGTGCATTTCACACAAGTCTCGTTTAATCCTTCACAGCCCGTGAGCTGGTGCAGCTGATTGGTTTACAGGTTCAAGCGTTCCTTGAGTCTGTTTGCCTCCATCCAGCATTGCCCAGTGGCAGTGTGGGAGTCAGGCAGAAGCCCTGCACCGCTAGGCCCTGCTCCTTCCATAGAGGCAGATGTGGCTACTCTGGCCCATATCACACGTCACTTTCCTACTGCATAATAACTGCGCACCACTTAGAGCAGTATTCTCTGCTCTCCCCCAGTGTGTTGGGTGAGGTGGGCCCAGGCAGTGTTCATGGAAGCAGGTAGGGATGTTGGAACAACAGGTTCCTAGGCTTAGAGAGCTCATTAGTTTCCACACTTGAGTTCTAGACCTGATTTAGGATCCTCTGCCCTTGGTGAACTGCTTCTAATGCACGTGTCCTCCATGTTTCTCCTATCTAGCCATTCGGCAGTTCTTCAGTTGCCATCAGAACATTGTACCCTATAAATCCTGGGATAAACTCATGCGGGTGCTGGGCCTTAAAGATAATGAAATTCTTATGATCAAAGATGGAATACAGAACCGGGAAGATTGGTTGTATGAGATGATGGTAAAATGGCTCAACAAAATGGGGCACAGTGCCTCCATCAACACCGTTCTGGATGCCTTGGAAAGAATTGGCGAGAGAAATGCAAGGGAGAAAATCGAGGACTACATGGTAAATTCTGGAAAATTTATCTATCAGGAAGATGGAGCAGATCCTGCAAGGTCGCTTCTTTAGAAAGGTAAATGTTCCCTCCTTTGTCTTTTCTCCCCTCAAAAGAAACACTTGAACACAAGAAAGTAGGAAATAACCAAACTTCCACATGACAAGATCTGGAGCGCTTTCTTAATTCTTGTGCATTCGAAGAATGAAACCCATAGATCAAGATGAATGTGTATAACAGAAAGATGTATTGAAGCACAGGAAGGGACCTCCTGCAGTACAAGAGGGCCCCTAATAGTAGGCTTTCTCCTGCTGAGTGTGCTAGTCTATGGGTTTATACACAGCACTTGGTTCGATGCTATAAGACTTGAAAACTACTAAAGCCATTGCTAATTCTTGAGTTCCAACTTTCTTTCAAGTCTGCCCCACTTCCAGCCTAGTGTGGGGCTGCAGCAGGTGTCTGTTCTGTGCCCAGGCCTGGCCTCTGAAGGTCGACAGGTCGGTGTGCCTTGGCTTGCCTGGGTACTGGCTTTCTGTCCTGCCTATGGGGGCCACTCCATGGGCCGCAGGCAGCGCTTGCCAACCGCGCCCGGACACACTTGGCTGCTCCACATCTGCTCCTCAGCTGGGACCAGTAGGCTGGCTGCAGAGCTTGGCAGCTGGGGGAGAGCCATACCATTAAGACATATGGCTCTTTTTTTTTTTTTAAAGTGGCACTTTTTTATTCTAATACATCTTAATTTTTCCTTGTAACTATGTTTACGTGTTTACATTAACTTGCATTATTTTTGTGTTTTTGTAATTTTGTATGTTATAATGTAAGTGTTTGACAAGAATTCTTCTTCCTAATATGCACTTTGATTTAATGACTTTTCAGTGTTTAACCCAGTCTTTTAAACTTATAAACTTATTTATTTTCTGTTGGTGTTGGGGATCAAACTCGGGGCCTTGCACATGCTAGTCAAGAGCTCTACCACTGATCATCTCCAAACTTTAAATATGACACTTTTGTAAGTGTGTGAATAGTTCTTTATTTACAGAAGATGTAGCAATAACTATATTCTTCTGAGATCCTGACCTGGGCAGGGACCTTTGTCCTTGATGTCTGCCTTGGTCTCAGAAAAGAACAATAGGATGTGAATGTGAAATATTTGCTTACTAGACTACATGGTACCTCTTACTTGTGAATCTGAGCCCCAGAGCTGCATTTTGGGGTACAGAGTTGTACTTGAGAACCCAAGCCCTCTATATGCACAGAGGGCTTCTGGATATGACATTCAACTCAGAAACACAGATTCTTAAATTCTAATATAGAAGGACCTAAAATGGCTTTGGGCATTTTGTCCTGGCTTTCTCCTCTATATTTAATTCCTCATTAACTATTGGAGACTACCTTCCAGCAAAACCTTCTCCAGAGCATTCCAGTCACAGAAGGACATTTCATGGAGATGATAGTTCTCAGCTCAAGGCATTGGATGTTTTCTCATTTCAGGGCTGGTATGACTTGCTGAGAGCCATAGCTGAGTGGGAATGACGCATGGCATTTTTGCCAGAACAGAGTGGTTGAGAGGTGATGCCAGCAAGCCATTGAGATGATAATGGTTATGTTAAGCTGTGTATTCAATTATATATTAGACCCCTGCTGTCCCCTTGGCCTGCTACTTTGGAGTTCTGGATTCCTGGAGAGGATTGCACATCCAAAGCCAGCTTCAGCCAAAGGGAGGTGCTAAGCACCTCAGAGACCCTGTCTCTAAATAAAATACGAAATAGGGCTGGGGATGTGGCTCAGTGGTCGAGTGCCCCTGAGTTCAATCCCAGGTACCTTCACCCCAAAAAAGGGAAAAGATGTGGCCTCTGAGTCCTCAAAACACTAGAAATGGAACCACCATTTGACCCAGTTATCTGACTCCTTGGTTTATACCCAAAGGACTTAAATCAGTGTACTACAGTGACATGGCCACATCAGTGTTTATAAGTAGCTCAATTCACAATAGCTAAGCTATGGAACCAACCTAGCTGCCCTTCAACAGATGAATGGCTAAAGAAAGTGTACATATGTATATATACACAATGGAATATTACTCAGCCACAAAAGAACAAAATTATGGCATTTGCCAGTAAATGGATGGAACTCGAGACTACCATGTTAAGTGAAATAATCCAATCCCCCAAAACCAAAGGCCAAATATTATGCAGATGGTAACTCACAATTAGCAGCTCTGCAGTTGTGGTGGGAAATACGAGTTCACTGGATTAGGCAGAGGGCAGTACAGGGAAGGGAGTAGGAAAGACAGCTCAATGAGACACAACTTTCCTACATTCAAATATGGACACACAACCAGTGTAACCCACATCATGTACAACCACAAGCATGGGAAGTCATACTCCATGTGTGTATAATATGTATAACTAAAAAGAATAAAAAATATTTTTAAAGAACGTGGCCTCTGTGCATCTTTAGGAGAGGGGACCTTTTCATCTTCCCATACCCTTCCTCCCCCTTTTCAGGTCCCCCAAGCTGCTCCCCGGCTGCTTTCTGGACATTAGCCCTTTGCTGCTGCTTTGGTGGACTCTTGTCCTCCTGAGAGGAAGCCAGTGAGGCTCAGCTCCCAGCACCTTTCTCAGAGGACTTCCTGGGTCCCACCGCAGGAAGTTAGCCTCATCAGTGTTGGGCCTGCTTGTTGTTGCAATGTAAGCGGCCTGTGCAGGAGACGTGAGCTCCTCTCGTGGCTGGTTGTGTGGTATACACCAAGTTCAAATGCAGGCAGGCTCTTGAGCAAGTGCTTCCTGGGAAGCGAGGGGTTGAAAACGAGTGGCGACACGGAACGACTCAGGAAGGCCGTCAGGTACAAAATACTCATGTATTTATGAATTCATGACCAAATTAAATATGAAACCTTATATAAAAAGAGGTGTGGTTTTTGTTTTTTGCCCCCATCCTCTGCGTCTCTGAACCAGCTCTGAGGGACCGGAGTCTGGGGAAATGTCTTGCCCCCATGTAACCCGTGTCCTGCTTTCTCCCCTTTATTCTCTGGGCTCACCCTGTTGGGGGGTGTTTTCTACTGCCTCCCTGGGATCCAGAGGGGCGGTTCCTGGGGGGCTGAAATTCAGCACCTCCTCCTTCCCCCCACCTGCCCTTCCCTCTGGGGACAGGGACATCGGCTCTGATCTGGCGCACCCACAGCCTCCCAAGGTGGTTTCTCTGGGCTGCAGGGCTCTGTGTGGGGCAGACGGGCCCTAAGAGAGCTGAGGGTCAAGGGTGGCGGGTCCCTGAGGGGTGAGCTGGCCCTGGTTGCTGAGGGAGTTCTGTGGCCACTCTCCTGTGGGCTGCCCTCAACTCCTCCTCGACCTTCACTTTCCCCAATGGCCTTTCCTCTCTGGCTCTAGGTTCCTCAGCCCTGCAAGCACCTGGGAGACCCATTGTCCCCTCCTCTTTAGAACCGAGCTCTCCCTCTCACCTAGATCTCAGGACATGTGTCCCCATCTCTGTTCCCCTGCCACAAGGATGCTGCCAAGGCTGCATAGGTCCTCTTCTGGATGCCCCCCTTCCCCCACCTCAGCCTCACCCTTGAAGCTGCGGGCAGAGCTGGGGTGCAGGGAGGTTGGATAGCCAGCAGAGGGCAGCCCATGACTGGCTTCCAGCCAGCTAACCAGGAGGACTGGAGGGAGGCAGTGACAACCTTGGAAGGTAAGGCTCAGACACCATGGGTTCACCCCACTTTAGACCTGCCCCTACCTGGGCCTCTCGACAAGGACTAACCTCAGAGCTCTAGGTCTTGGCACCACACAATCATTGCAGGATTGCCTGGGTTTCTGGGTTTGCTGCCCCACCSCAGGTCCCTGGGACCTAGCCAGTCCCTCTCCCTGAAGCATCTTTCTCAGGGGACGCCTTAGCTCTCAACCCCCTGCCTCCTGGCTCTGCAATTCCTCATCAGGACCCACTTCATAGCATTAAAAAGGGTGTAGGGGCCACAAGCTGTTTTAATCCCCAGTCTCATCCTTCCTTTCTGGAGGAACCTTGCTTTTCCTTCTGTTCAATCCTCCCTTCATCCTAAACCAGCACTAGGTAGGGCTTTATGTCCCGTGACCCTTCATTACATGGGACTGTTGTTCTCCAACTGTGTCTTTGTTGACATTGACCCTTGTCCTAAGTCCCCCAAACACATAWTCCATAAGCATCCTGTGGGATCACCCTCAGAGGTGGTCTACATCCTCGAGATGGGCAAAGGCAGGGTCCAATACGGCCAAGTCCTGAGGCCAAAGCCCTCCCCTCAATCCTCACAACCTCAGTCACCAGCAAGCAGCAGCCGCCCCGAGGGCTGTTGGGCAGGCCCAGGACATCTCAGCCACAGCAGGCAAGGAGCCCTTCCCAAAAGGCATCAGAGTTGAAGGTATACTGAGCCTCCATCTCCTAGCCATGGGGCCTCTGTTTGGCTTTATAAAAATGTAAGCTATATAGGGTCTATTTCTCATTTCCATTCTTTGGGGAAACAGAGGATAGCGTTTTTTTGTTGGTGGTGAATTCCTTTTGAGTTGGTTCTTGTTTGTTTGGGGTTTGTTGTGTTTTTTTGCTAATTTTGCCCCACCCCCATAAAAAGCAGTACTACCCAGAGGCAGGGGAAGGGGCCCAGAGGAGCATGGGATTGCTGCACACAGACCCCACTCCTCCCTCCTCTTCCAATCCAGTTGTTTCCTTTGGTTTCCATCTGAGGAGTGCAGAAGGGGCACGGAAGGTTTCTCATTGCACCAAGAAGCACTGCCTCCAGGCCTGGAGCTCTGAGCTACCTCTGCCACCCACAAATCAGGCCTCATTGCCTGAAACCTGGGAGGGATGCAGAATGCCAGCTTTTCCATGTGTGGCCTCTTGCAGCTGCAGCCCAGGATGTAGAAGCCTTGAGTTGAGCTCTGAAGGCTTAATTTCTACCCTGACTTCTCCAGTGAGGATCTGAGTAGGCTTCATGTGGAAATCCCACAAAACATTTGCAATCGTCTAGTCTGTTGGGAAGATGTGGCCCATGGAGGAGGACCCTGGCTGCTCTCTGGGAAGGGGGCTGCCTCCCCAGCCAGAGCAGAGACCCAGACACGCAGGCAAGCCCTTGTGCTGGG